TTCTTTGCATTGTGACATAAAATAGTCCAGGCCTCATATGATCCAGGTTCCCCCTTTTATTCATGGAAAACAAGTGTTTGGTCTTTTTTTCTATTTAACTTCCTCCCTACCCTCTTCCAAGCTGACAGATTTTAGCAACTTTGCTCTGTCTCATCATTGCCCCAAAAATCTCAGGGATCCACCATTCTCATCTGGCTGAAACTTCTATGCCCGACTCTGAGGCAGCCACATTCTGCCTTGCCCACTCTTCCTCAGAGCCACATGGACAGGACTGGTGACCAACACAGAAGGAAAAGTAAATTCCACGAATGCGTTCAAGTCTTACTGAGTGAACCCGATGGAAGTTTCCCCGTTGTGAAAGAATGAAGCCTCTCTCTGAGACTCATTTTCTAGGATAAATCATATTCTGTCCCTCACACAAGAAATTTGTTTTTCTTTTGACATATTTTTCATTATGTCATCCTCTCTGCTTAAAAACTTTCAATGGCTCCTTGCTGCCAAAAGGAGAAATTTCCAGCCCTTATAATTTACATTCAAGGCTCTTCACAATCTGTTCCCAGTCTACTTTTCAACATTATCTCTCAGCCCTCTGCTGTATAATTCTCCCTTCTAGGTCACTATTATCTACTGGTTCCCCAAAATGCCTGTGGATTCCTGGGTCCAAGCCTTTCCTCAAGATGGGCCTCTGGCAAAAGTTCCATGTTGACCTTGGGATAGCCAATGTCAGGCCCAGGACTGGGCACACATTTGGGACTTAGAAATATTTACTAAACAATAAAAGTATAACTATGAGAGACATCTGAAAACCAACTTTAGGTCTTTCATAGTTTGACCTAAAAGTTATTCAACCAGGTCAAGTAGTATACGTGCCAATGGGGACATTATGATTTTTCTTTGATGCTAACACATACGTTGCTTTCACATTTCAATGTTCAGCGCTTCTATATTTAATGTATAAATGTTTCCCTTTTCTCCCAAAAGCATGTTCTTAAATCTATCTTACAAGGAATGGCATTCTAGAATCAAGGAAGTGCAGTGAGTGGCACACTGGCTCCTGCAAGGGTCCATCAGGGTTTGCAGCTGTACAGATGACATCTGCCCAGCCCATTCATCAATGCTAGCCCCTCCTAAGGCACTCTGCTCTCCTTAGCACCCCCTTGCTTTGTGACTCATTAGTACACAAGATGTTACAGACTGAAAATATAATCCTGCTGAATAGGAGATTAGCAACATACATCCAAGACAGCTTCATAAGGAATCAAAGACAAGCAATATCTGCGTGCTGACTATCTTTGAGCTTCTGAAGTAATCTCATGCAAGCCATTACCCTGCTCTCCAACAGTTCCCTTGGTCCATGGGACAGGCCGTGCTCAACCACAGCTGGGGTTCTTCTAAATATTAAAAACTGCAAGTCTGCTCTATTCTCTGAAATCATAGTCTTACTTCTCCTTTCTCCCTTCCTTTGGAAGTCAGCTAAAAAGGGCACTTGTCTCGTGACGCATCTCTGCCCCCACCCCCGCAGTCACCATGAGATGATACTATATATCCTCTTTCGTTATACATCAACAAGGTTATCAGGGCTGCTAGCATGATACAAGATGGTACTATATTTCTTTGATAAATTACCACTTATTACCATTAGTTTCAAACATCAACCATGCCCAAACCCTCCATCCAGCAAAATATCTCCCACCAAAGATAGTACGGCTTCATTAAAGACAGTGAGAACCCACTGATGCTCAGCTGAAGCACAATGTAGCCCTTTAATGGATGTTCTCACTCCTGGCATACACGGGACTGTGCCCTCTCAGCCTAGAAGCTAACCCAAGGTCACAGCCAATGGAGAAGAGTGCCAGATCAAAGTCTATTTGCATATTTTCTTAAAATACCTCCCTAAACAACCACAATCCATTCACAACTTTAAAAGCTAAATTTAATGGATATACACTCTCAACTGTTCCATTTCTTCTCCATCATTCACTCTGCTTTAAAAGGTACAACATCAGAAGAGATGAGAAGAGGACTCGTTGGCTCCCAGTTAGGAGGACATCAGCCCACAGGAAAGAAGAGTTGGGTTAACAGGAATTGGGCCATCTCTGTCCACTCTTGGCTCCACATTTGACGCCCTGTGTATGTCTATTTTATGCCCCCTCTGGAGCCCTCTCACTGTACCTTTGAAACAGACAGAATAAAATGGACACTATTCTTTTCCAACTCACCCTAATGTTATAAACACTAATTGGACACCGTCTGCTTCGAGTCTTGTAAAAGGCACATGATAAGAAACACATGGTTTACATGGATCCTCTTGTTAAGCACAAGTAATCAGTGCCAAGTGGACAGTGGCAGGATGCTCTATGGTGCCGGAGAACTGAGTGGTAAATGGAATTTTAAATTGTGAGTCATTATAACCATAATTGTGCAATGTAGAAAGCCTGCAAGAACGTGTTTCAATCTGGCAGATGGTGAAAACCAAAACTCCAACGGACTCTCTGCTTGACTTGTCCAGCACGCAACCCACAACTGTGCAAAGAAGTTTTACAAACCACACTAACAATGATGCAACGAGGTGACATGATCTAGGCTGGCCATGGTGACCAGGTTTAAATTCTCCACTTCACTGCAACATTCTACAAGAAAGTTGTGGGGAGAGTGACGAGATGCTTAATCTTCTGTAAAACCAAGCATTTCAGTATTTTTCACCACTGGCCTTATTTCCAGAACACTCTACCCATTTTTGCTGTACAAGCACCAATCGATGCAAAAGTATAATTACTGGGTTGGAAGTAACAAATATGTACAGAATACGCTAGGACCTGTTAAGAAGTACTTGGAGGAACAGTACATACCCCTTTCAAGGTATCTGATTAGTTTCTTGGCCTAGCATAGCTCTCTACTCACCACTATTCAATCACAGTTTACTTCTTAAAAAAATAACAATGACATGATTTTTCAATGACCCTATTCCATGGACCAACAGAAAAAAGAGAATGCCAAGAGACTGCTGTGGTTTTTTTTTTTTTAACAGAGTTTTGAAAGACCTTCAGAGTAAATCATGCAAGAACTGTGTTCAATAAACAAGCATATACATTATAGAGTTACATCATCAGTTGACATCCAAGCAGAAGCCAAAGGTTAATTGCTATGGTTTACTGCATCATTCCAAATGACCTTGTACAAGATGTAACTTGACAACCCTTTGAACTTTACAGTCTGAAATTTCATCTACTTGTTTCATGAGTACTTTTTAATTACTCCCCTAGGGATTTTAATATTGTTTTCTTTTTTTAATTACTCTCTGGAAGGGATGGTGGTTTCATGTTTCCCCCTCCTTTATGATAACTCAGTCCCTGCCTAGCTAGCCCAGGGACATTTTCGTTTTCTTTACCATAAGTCATCAAGGTAGAAAACAGAACTATCAAGACACACGTCTAAGAACTCAGGCTGTGGAATCAGATTGTTGCTTCAAATCCCAACTCCACCACTTAGCCAGCTGTGTAACCGTGCGCAGTTTATTTCACCCCCTAAGCCTGTTTTCTCATCTGTAAAGTAGGAACAGCAATACTACTGAGCTCTTAAGTCCATTGGAAGGATCGAAACAACTAATGTATGTAAATATTTACCCCAGAGCTTCGCAGATGGTGAGCACTCAAATAATACTGGTTTGACAATATTTTTGTTTAAACACTACTGCTTTTAAGACGAGAACAAGTTTGGAATTGTGTTCTCTGATCCCACAGTGAATAAGGTGGAAATGAAGTAGCAGGATAGCAAACCTACTTCCACACACAATCCAGTGCCTGGAGGCAGCAGCACCATTTCCACTGTAACTCACGAAGCGCCAGCCTGAAGTCACTGAGCAGCTTCGCAATTAACAGGGCAAACAGCTGGTGCTGTGCAGAATACACAAAAGCAGTGCTGGGGGAACTGACAGTGTGGTCAGGAGAGGAGACACACACACGCACACACAGGTAACTGTCCTTTGCTGCCTTGTTAAATCGCTGGATACATGTGTAGGTTCTTATAGCATCTCTTACGGTGGACAGAAGAAAATCCAGCATTTTATGGAAAGCTACAAAGGCACAGAGGTTTCCTCCAAGGTAAGATGCCAAATCAGGGAGAGATGCAGAGTAAGGCTGGGTTATCATATTTATTTGGCTTAAACTGGAGGTGCTGTTGTGGCAGTAACCCGATTAAAGAAGGTGGGCAAAGTGACAGCACACAGTGGCTGCTTGGTTTTGCACCACCACCAGAACCGCAATCTTGGAATCTGAAAATGCTGCAGTTGAGAAGAATCCTTTAAAAAGCCCCAGTGAGACTCAATCCTCCTACAGCAGGGACCGCGCGGCTTGTTCTCACACGCGTGGACACGGCTCGTGCCTCACAGACGCCTTTCTTGCTGGACCTCTCACCATGCCCAGTGGGCGGAGCCGCAAGGGGTCAGGGAGGGGGCCGGGGTATCCCAGAAAGAGGATGACCGACAGATAACTACCACTCAAGAAACAAGCCTAAATCACTTCTCTTAGTCCTTCCGCTCAGATTGCCCGCTCCCCCCTCCCCAAATTTATGGGGATCACAGTCACAAAACACCAGAAGCCAGAAATCCAGGGACATCCCTCTTGTCCAATGTCCAAATCTACACTAGCTGCTTTCTTCCCGGCCTGCTGGCCACAAGCACAGGTGGCCTCCAGAATTAATCCAAATAAGAGATTCTCTGTTCTCCCAAACCGTCTTATTTTGGATCGTTCATCTCAGACCATCTCTAGGGGCAAGAAGAGGATGAAGGGGCTCGGGAACAAAATCTAAGTCTGCCTTGTACCTGGAGGCGGATGGGGCTGGGTGGGGTGGGGGAGGCAAGTCGGCAGCCTGGGTACCTCAAGTTCGGCAGCGCGAGACGCGCCGACTCCCGGCCACAGAGGGTCGCCAGCCTCAGGGAAGTGGTTCCCACTGCCTCCGACTGAGCCCACCAAACCCTAGCCCGCCGGCATCGCCGCGCTTACCTTGGCCCAGGAGACCGTGTAGGGGACCTGCGGGTCCCAGGGGGCAGTGCAGGGCAAGTCCACATCCTCGGAACAAGCCACCTTCACCTCCTGTGCCGCGGGCGCCAGGCTGCAGGCTACAAGGAAAGGGAGAGAGGCGTGAGCGAGCGAGAAAAGGGGGCGCCGCGGGGAGGCGGGGGGCGACAGGCGATCTGGGGCCCTACCGCAGCTGAGGAGCAGGAGCTGGAGGCCGCGCGACATGGCTGGGGCTGCGGGCCGGTGGCGCGCTCCCGCCGCGCCGCCCTCTTGTACCCGCGCGCAGGGACTTCCCCGGGCGCCGGCCCAGGGGACTCCCCGCGGGCGGCGGAAGCGGGCGCCGGGCCCTGCCCCCCCGCCAGCCGCCGCCGGGGCGCCCCCGTCCCCGCCCCCGCCTGCGCGTCCCCGCCCCCAGCGGCGCTGCGGCGGCTGCCGGGCCGCGGCGACAACCATCCCCGCGGAACGCCCCGCGCTGGAGGCTTTGCAAACAGCGCTGGCATGTGGGACAGCGTCCCGCTGGCCCCCGAAACAAAGCCGGGAGCCGGGCCAGCCCAAGCTGTTAGGCCCCTTTTATGGAGGCGAAACCAGATTCAGAGAGGGTGAGCCGCTTCCCCAGTCGCCCAGCCTGTCCGTGGTGACGTCACTGGTGAACCCAGGTCCTCACTCTCCTCCAGAGTCTGTGATAATCAAAACTCATTAGACTTCCAAAGGAACGGGGCCAGTCTGGAATAGTTGGCTCGCTGCCCTCTGGCGTTATCAGTCTAACTTCCTTCAGCCTAGGAAAACCTCTCCTATTAAAGTAAAAATTACACACACACACACAGAATTTTGGGGAAAGACAAAAAAAAAAATCAAAAGAAAATAGTAATGACCTCTTATCCATCCAGAGGTAACATCAGTTAACATTTTGGTGTCTTTGCTTCAGAACATAGAGTTTCTACGTTATTAAAAAGTTTCAACAGTATCATTTTGGTGGCTGCATAATATTCCATGAGACAGTGGTACCATAAATTAGAATGAATTAACATCAGACATTATTGGTCTAGTGTTACCAGTCTGGACAGTGTTAATGTTAGATTGTTTCTTTAATGATTAATATTGCAAACAGTGCTGTGATTGCTACGATGAACTTCCATGTAAATAAACGTTTGCTCTGATAGTGGTTCTTTTCTTGGAATAAACACCTAGAGGAAATTGTGCTAGGTCAAAGAGAATTTACAATTTTGTTAAATAATGCCAAAATTACCTCCACTGAGGTATCCTCAATCTGTATGCCCGCCTGCAGCGTACGAGGGTGCCTGTCTCCCAGCACTTTGCCAACAGGAATTATGGAACTTCCACCTTTGTGCGTTCAAGGGGTTAGAAAAAATGGCATCGCGGTGACGTTGTAATTTACCCTTGGAAGTGGTTGTGTCAATTGACAGCCTCACCAGCCATGTGTAAGTGCCTTTTCCCCATAAACACTCACATGCTAATTTTTTAATTAGGACATTTTTAGGCCTACAAAAATATGTATAGAAAATAAAGGAATCAAACACATCTGTATGCAATATATTCGTAATAGAACGTGTGTCCCTTGCTAGATTCCATACCTGGGCATTTAAACTTTCTTCCAATTTTTCACAGTTATAAACAATGTTGCGTGAAGCTGGGGATGTTCAAATCCTCTGGCCCAGCAATCATGGCCCATTTTTAGATAGTGCCATCTTGTCCTCCAAAATGTGTGTGCCCGTTTACACTCCTCAGCATCGTCAGATTTTTTTTTTCATTTTTACCCATGTAATGAGTGTGAAATATGAATTCCTTTTTGTTTAATGGACATTGAATACTCAGAGAGGATGTCTTTTCATATGTCTCAAGGCTAGAGGATGTCCTGTTCCTAGGATTGCCTGTTCCTATCATTTGGCCTTTTCCATTGGCGCCGTTTATAAATTCTGGGCCAAATCCTTTCTTGGTTATGTGCTTGCCAAATATCTTCTCCAAGGCGAAGGTTTGTATTTTTCACTTTGTTTACGATATCTTTCATGTACAAAAGGACTTTTAAAAAATACTTTAATGTAGTCAAATATATTGGTCTTTTTGTTTATGGTTTGTGCTTCTGGTGTTGTGTTTAAGAAATCTTCTCCTACCCTGAGATTATAAAATCATTCTCCTTCATTTTCTTCCAAAACTTTTAAAGTCATGCTTTTTCACATGTAGGTCTTTAATCCATTTAAATATGGTTTCATGGAGGCTCCAACTTATTTTTTCCATATGGACAACCAGTTGTTCCAATGCTGCTTGCGAAAAGTCCATATTTCCCCACTGACTTGCAATAGCTTCTCTGTTATATACAAATTTCCATATGTGTGTGGGCCTGTTTCTAGACTCTGTTCTGTCGCTCCCTGTGATAATCTCACACCTGCTCATTACTTAATGAAACCATAGATAAGTCCTGCTATGTGGTGGAGTCAGTCAACTCTCATATGTTGATGTTCCTCTTCGAAATTGTCCTGGCGTTCTCAGTTCTTTGCTCTATCTTATACATATTAGAATCAACTTGTGAACTCAAAAATCTCATTTGAATTTTAATAGGAACACATTCAATATATAAATTGCAGAAAATTAACATCTTTAGAAATTGATTCTTCAAATCCATCAATATTATCTTTCCATTTGTTTACATCTTCAAGAATTACTAAAATTTCATACACAAATGTTTTCTACATCTTTTGGTAGATTTATTCCTAGTACCTTTATATTTTTGGTGGCTATTTCCACATATATATATTCTAGTTGCTCATTGCCAGTAAATAAAAATTTACTTTTGTGTAGCCAGCAACCCTTGCTGAACTTTCTTATTAATGTTAACAATTTGTTCTTAGATTCTCTATTAAGACACTTTTATAGTTATGAATTAGAGACTTTTTCCCCCTAGAATTCTAAACAGGAGGTTTCGTTTTCATTGTTGCTGCCAGTGTCTGGCAGTGGAGTATGCTCAAGGATGGGCTTGATGATTCTTTGCGGCTTATCGAGAAATGCTTTGTAGCCTAATACGTGACCTTTTGGTAAACGTGTCAGGAGTTCTTGGAAAGAATACGCATTCCCCACGTGGTCTCTTTGATCAAGCTTGCTCATTGTGCTCTTAGGTCTACAGCCTTGCTAACTTTTTGTCATCTTAAACTATCAATTACTAAAAGAGATATGTTGAAATCCCCCGGTGACTATGAAATTGTCCAATTATCTTTGAAATGTTATCAATTTCTTGCCTCATATAACTTGATGCTACATTTTAGGTGACTGCAAGTTATAATTATCTCTTCCCAGTGAATTGTTTCTTTTTATCCTTATTGAGTGACCCTTTTTTCCGCTAATATTCCTTTCTTGCTTCAAAGACAACCTTGTCTACTCTGACTATAGCCACGTCACTTTCTTTGGGCTAGTATTTTGCTGATAGTTTCTCTACTTTTACATTCAACATTTCTATGTCCCTAAGTTCTGTGTCTTTTTTAAAGCATATAGTTAGATTTTTCTAGTCCAATACAACTGGCAATCTGTCTTTCTTATTAAGAATTTAGTTTTTCTTTTTTTCTGAATTATGCCCTGTTTGAGTTTATTTCAGTTATCTTGTTTCATGCTTTATATTTAACCTAATTTTTCTGTGTTTCTTTTTCTCCTTTCTTGCATCAATTTAACATTGACCAAATTTTTTATATTCAGTAGTGTTCTCTTTGCTGGTTTGAAAGTTATACATATACTTTCTCATCTTAAGTGAGTACCTTTAGATAACTTTCATAAGCACAGTTGATTTAATGAAGTCTAAATGTAATCATATTGCCACCTTTCTCCCTGAAATGCCTGACCTCTGCTCATCCCCTGCCCAACTTACCTACTATTGTGACCAGGACTTTCATTCCGTCTTGGTTCATACTCATCAATTAGTCCTTTTGTATATATTAAATATTAGTTCAAATTATGTAATATCATACATCTCATTGCTTCTTTTCAGGTCACTTTCTTCTGAACCATATGCTTAAGTCATTGTTTCAGCAAAGATCTGTTGGTGATAAATGTTCTTTTTCATTTGTCTGCAGATGTTCATTTGCCCATGTTCTTAAGTGATAATTTAGCTGTAACATAAGTTGATGGTTATTTTCTCTTAGCACTTTGATTATTCGATTGTCTTCTGGCTTCTACTGTTGCTTTTGAAAGTTCTGGACAATCTGATGCTCATTCCTTTGTAGGCCGCTGGTCTTTTATCTATGAGTGTGTATAAGATCTTGCCTTGTACTTGGTGCTGTTTTAGTTATACGAGGTCATGTCTGGTAGAGAATTTTGTATTATTTAGCCTGCTGGGGTTCATAGCTTTCGTTAGTTCTGGAAAATTCTCATTTATTACCTCTTGGAATGTTGCCAGACCTCCATTCTCTCTGTTGTTTCCTTCTGGAACACCTGGTAGATGTGTGTTGGCCCCTCCCGGTCCACACTCCATGTCGGTGAGGCCCTCTTCCACGTGTTCTCTCTCTTCATGGAATATTCCTCAGATTTCTCTCTCCATTCAATAGTTACTTATGCAGAGATATTTCATCTTCAGATTATCACATTAAGTTTTAAATTGTAATGTTTTAAATTTCTGAAGTTATATTTGATTTTTATTTCACTCAGTCTGGTTGTCTTTGATGGTGTCTTTTCCTTTTATTATGTTCTTTATTACTTCTCTTCATTACTTCTCTTATGACATAATTTTATTTTATTTTATTTATTTTTTCTGCTTTATCTCCCCAAACTCCCCCGTACACAGTTGTATATCTTAGTTTCAGGTCCTTCTAGTTGTGGGATGTGGGATGCCGCCTCAACGTGGCCTGACGAGCGGTGCCATGTCCACGCCCAGGATCCGAACCCTGGGCCACCGCAGTGGAGCATGCGAACTTAACCACTCGGCCACGGAGCCAGCCCCTGACATAATTTTAAATGTTTATTTTATAATCTCCTGATAATTATGTTATCTGAAGTTCTTAGGGTTTTAATATTGATTTTTGTTTTGTTTTGTTTTGTTTACCAAGTCTTGTTTTTGATGGATTGTTTTTTCAAGTGTTTTGTAATTTTTCATCGCAAATTAATCTTCAGTTGGGGCGTCACGTGGGGGCGAACTCCTGGAGGGTCTGGGCTGAGGGTGTAGCCTCCCAGAGAGGTTTTGTGTTGTTTCAACCAGGTGCCCCAAAAGTACTACCAGCCTGTGACAGCATTTCATGTTAATCTCTCGGTAGGGTGTGTGCTAGACCACACCAGTAATGTAAACTTAAATATCATATCCATCTGAGGGCACCGCCGTGATTATGAATTTTAAGGAGAGGCTTTTGTTTGTGAAAAAAAAAAAAAAAACAAGCTTCCTTGTCA